TCTCTATCTCTCTCTCTATCTCTCTCTCTCTATCTCTCTCTCTCTCTCTCTCTCTCTCTCTCTCTCTCTCTCTTTACACATTGTTAAAGAGCCTTTGTCCCTGCTGTAACCGGTTGGGCTCTGATGAAGCCCTGTTATTGCCGATACGTTTAATAGAGACACAGAGTAGGAAAAAAACAGGGATTTGAAAAATCCCTGTTATTACTGGATCCCTGTTATTACCGGGCCTGTTAATACACTGTTGTATATATATGGTTTCCACTGTAGTTGAAATAATATTTGTGATTGGAACCGCTTTGCTTTGTACGCTTGTCAATTCAAAACATGTTTTTTGTGAAAGGTCTCGCATTTAAATTTAGTGGCTTTTTTTTAGAATGCTCTTAGCGTCTAATAATACGATACTTGAAAATGTCTTCAATTGTGAGTGTGATCATGTCATACATTGTGATGGTCCGTATGGTTTGTTTGAAGTTTTTTTCCTCCTTGACTGGAGATCTTTCTTTATCATCTATTCTATGAAATGGCATGTTGATGTGACATGTACTTTTGAGCTCAGCTCTATGATTCATGAAACTGCTTTTGCTCTAAAAGTGACTGTACACATACTAAATTTCTTTGCTTTTCAGTTTCTGGTCATGTTCTTTTATTTCATATATTACAGCTCGCTCTATCTAGATTAATAATCTATGTATACTGGTTGGCATGGTTTTGGTATGTGGGTGGTTTGCGTCTGCTCTGGTGTCAGGGTGTGGCTTGCTCTTTCTTTCTCCTCACCATCATCTATCATCCTCATCTCCCCTCCTCCTTTTCTTTGTATGTTACTCTTCAGAAGAACATCTCTTGTCTTTGGCTATCATCTCCTATTAATACTTTTCATTTTCTTTATCAATGACCGTATAAATGAATGGCCAGTCCAGTGATCAGTGAGGTGGGGCAGGCGGCAGAGAGAGCTGGAGTGGAGAGACGCGTTACGTGAGCCACTCCAAAAGTCATGGGCCGTAGCTTAGAGGATCAGTATGAGAGAGTATAGTCCATAGCCTTAGGCCTAGGCTAGGACAAAAACTAAAAGAAGAGGAGAGCGTGTAGTGTGTGATTCCTGATTCATTGAATTGCAATTGTTGATGCTCATAGGCATACACACACACATCCACTTCTCCAGTTCTACAGTTGCTCTTCCGGTACTATGTCATGTCTATAGACAGCACAAGGAACGAAACCGAGGAAAAGATGGCTTCCAACAACAACAAAAGGAAAGGATTCTCACCCGAATTAAAAGCCGAGGTAATCAACGAAGTTGACAAGAAAAGGAAGACTAATCGAAAGCGCAAATTTTATTGATATGGAAGGGAGGTATTCATGTGGATTTTAAGAAGTTTTTCGGTAATTTCCTCTTTGCATTCCTATAGCGGG